TTAAAAAACATTAATATTGTGGAATAATTTTACAATTTAAAATAAAGTTTTTTTCCCCCTGTGATGTTAGATCTCAACTTCTTCTCTTTAGTGTCTCATGATCTTCAGAAATAATTCTAATATGCTGATTGTCTGCACAAGAAACATTTCTGATTATTAACAATGTTGAAATTGGTTGTACTGCTTAATGAAGTGTGGAAACCATTATACAGCGACTTGAAGAGCAAAAATATACATTTCTTAAAAAAAAAAGAAGAAAGAATTCATAGTAATCCAAAACTTTTGAATTTTAATGTCATGTATCAAATGCCAGAATCAAGTGAAGAATTGTTTTTTTTTTTTAGCTTTATTATGTCATATTTTTATACAGCAGATTCTACAAGGACGTTAACATCACACTCTCTTGTCTCCAATGTTGTCTTGTTTTGGTGCATACATCTTTTTAATTTGTAACAAGGATTCAATAGTAATTCGTGCTCAAAATTCAGGAAAACTTTACTTTATTTATCGCATCCTCCATGACTAACATTTTCCTGGATTTTGAGTGTGAATCACTATTGAATTCATATTTTTAAAAACAAAATGTCACTGTCTCACATAACATCAAACATTCACACATACACAACAAAAAGAAAACAAGTAGATAGAATAGAAAAAGAATAGAGAAAGCTAGTGTTAGATGCCTTTTTTTTTTAAGAAAACAAGCAGTTGGAAAACGAATAGAGAGTGCAAGTGTTAGAGGGTCAAATATAGATGGAAGAGATGCATTTTTAGTTGTTTCTTGAAGATGGCTAAGGACTCAGCTGCTCGAATTGAGTTGGGCAGGTCATTCCAGCAGGAGGGAACAGTTTATGTAGAAAAAAAAAAGCCTAAAGAGTATATATATGTTTATGAAACTTTATGACTTAGCCTATAAATAATGTTGCATGAGTGTTTGTTGTGCATCAAAATAGACAATGCATTTGTATCAGTGATCATCGTGTATCATCCAGGTACAGTGCAACACATGGGACACAGTTTTAAAGCATCGCAAGCTACAAATGAAGAGCACAAAGAACCGAAATCAATGTATACAACTAGCTGAAGTTTGCTGTGCTTTATCCTAACATTACACAAAGAATGCCTGCAATCATTCAGTCAGGGATGACTGCACAAAACGTGCACTGTAAACTAATAAAAACAGTATAAACTGTTAGGAAATGATAAACAAATGTAGTTTGTGCAACACTGTAAATATATTTACCTTTTTAAAGAAAATATATATATATCCCATTAAACCTGCTGAGATACAAGGAGCGTGAACTGAAATTCTCAGTCCA